AAACACAATTTGGTGAGAATTCAGGTAAGGGATTTGAAACTACTTCAGTATTTTGATCCTAACGTTTTACCTCGATGTCCGATTGAGCAAATTCTTGTGGCATTGGAAAGAAGACTACAAGTTCTACAAAAATGTATTTCCTGAAAATTGCATGAATCGGCTTCTAACTAAGCCAATACTAGGGTGAAATTTTGGTCTGGGAAGATAGATACTAGAAGTGGAACCCGTTCGAATGAAAATTTTTCGTTCTCTAATTAGCTCTATGCTCCCTGATTTATTTTTGACCCTATATAAAAACCCTAGGGACGTATTTGAGGATTTCTTCACATTCTTTTCAACCCTAAAGAGTTAGGAGACGCTTGGAGAAAAGAAGAGAATAAAGAATAGTAGATCGGGTTGGATCTTGAGGAGATCGACACATTAAGAATTACATAAAACACTTTAGGGGCAATTTTTCTTCGAAATCAAAGTAGAGTTTCTTTTCTTTTCCTATTCATTGAGACTAGAGCTATTATTTATGTACTATTTGACTTGAATTCATATGTATTTTATGGATCTACAACTGTTCTGAATTTTTTTCAAATACATGATTCGTCTTCTAGGAAAAATACTTGATTTACATTCAAATTGCATGTTTTTTATTTATAAACCCTAGATCTTGGATACTATCACATTCATAATGTTTCTTAGCGATCTCTTGCATGTTTTTTTTTTAAGTTTCCTATATTTTAAGAGTTATGGAATTATGATTCATGGTACACATGTATTTTATTGAAAAATTAAATCTCTTATGTGGGTGGGTGTGATGGACTTGAATGCGCTCGGACTTATATCGTGGATTGTGTAGATGAGTTTCTTATCTCGGGAGTTTTGAAGATTTTCCTATCTTTCGTAGTGGGTGTTTGTTCCTTGTGGGGTTTCACACCACTATTCATCCTCAAGGATCGAGGCTGAGGGTTAGTATAATATTCCTAAAAAATTTCGTTAAATATTGATGCATTAGTAAATGTGTTTTCCAAAATAGTGTATTCCTGTGAGGATTGATTTAGACGTGGGTGGGCTAGATATATTCGATCTGTGAATTCTTGCTAATCAACCCTGCATATAAGAGATATTTCTGTTATAAGATGTTGTTTTTCAAATGGCTCTACTCTGTTATAAATTTACTATTTATGTATTGTAAACTTTAGATAGTTACCAATGTCACATGTTTTACTTCAAAAGTTAATCTATTTATTTTAAAAATTGAGACTGGCCTATTTTTATTTATTTCTAAACCTTTTTTAAGATTTGAGAAAGTTTATCTACTAAGATAGTTATGATCACCTATTCCTAGGTGAGCATTTGGAGTTGAATTTTGAAACGAATCAAGATGTGGATTTGGTTTTTTTTAGGCTAAGAGGGTTGTTTACTAGCTTTAGTTTCATAGTTTTGAGAATGAAAAAATATTTGTGAATGTTTTCTAGTTAGAGGAGATATATTTGTTTTTATTTAAGATTTTGGAATGTGCCCTTTAATGGCTGATTTAAGTTTTGGAGATTTTTAGTTAGATGAAATTGAATATTGTTGACTTATTCATGAGCGATCATTAATAATCTTAATTAGTTTTAACTTCAAATTAACTTTTTGGTTGGCAATTGTCACGACCCAAATATGTGAATATACGTGATCTAACTAATAACATTTAAAGATCAAGAAAGCATAACTAAAGATACAATTAAATAAATCAAAACAACAATTTTCAACTTCATCTAACTAAAAACCTCTGAAACATAACTAAACAATTAAAGGTTTATATCCCAAAAACCTTAAATAAAAGCAAATATCTCCTATCTAAATAAATAAAATTCATAAATATTATTCCATTATCAAAACCATGAAACTAGAAACTGGTAAATAACTCTCAAGCCAGATCCACATCTTGATCTGATTCAACCTCCAATCTGCATTCCCACCTAAATGTATATCCTCCTTAATACCAAAATCTGAAAAATTGTTAAAAGAAGGGATGGACACCTCCCTAAACCTAAACAAGATTTAAAAATAAATAAGCAGGTCGGTTTCATTTTAAAATTAAATATATAACTTTTGAAGCAAAACATGTGACATTAATAATGATCTCAAGTTTCGATATATATACAGTAAATCTATGACAAAGTATAATCATTCAAAAAACAACAGTTTGTATTAGAAATATCTCATTTATGAAGGTTGTTTACCAAGAATTAACACACCGAATCTATCTGGTCCTCAAAATCTCTACCTTCTGATAAATCCCCACAGGGCCATAATGTTTTAGGAAGCATGTATACTGATGAAATTTTTCAGGAGTAATATACTAACTCTTAACCTCGAATTCCATGAACGAATAGTGGTTTGGAACTTTGCAAGGAACAAACACCCCATTATGTCTAGTGATAGAGAGTCTTTCAACCCCTCAAGATAAGAAGTACATCTAAACACTCTGTAATATAAGTTCGAGTGCATTCAAGGTCATCAAACCCACCCATACAAGAAATTTAATTCATACTTTTCAACAAAATTCATGTGTACCAGAACCAATAGTTTAACAATTCTTTAAACAGAGGAAAACTTCAATAAAACATGCATGAGATCGCAATTAAAACATTAACAATTAGACATCATCCAAAATCTAGGGTTTACGAACCCAAAACGCATATTAGATGTAAATCATTATTTTTCCAACAAAAAAGAATTATACTAAATAGTAGCCCTAACTTCAATGAATAGGAAAGGGAAAGAGACCCTACATTAATTCCATAGAAATTGATCCTAGAGTGTTTTGGATGAATTCCTAGTGTTGATCACACCAAGATCTGACCCGATATCTTCTTCTTCCTCTTCCTCTTTCTTCCAAAACTCTCCTAAGCTCCTTAGGGTGCAAAAGCATACAAATAAACCCAAAAATGTGTTGCCTAAGGTATTTGTAGTATCAAAAACAAAAGAAACACTCAAAACTGATTGAGTTTGACTTCAGAGTCCTGTTCGAATGCAACTTACGCATTCGTATGGACTAAACCTTATGTCCAAAACCCACGCATACAAACACACATCTTTCATCTGAACAAACCCAAATCAATGCCAAAATTTTCGAAGGTGCATTTGGACGCACTATTTTTGTCTGAACATATGTGAATTTTTACCCCCAAACTTCCAGACTAATTTTGACCTATTTATAGGCCGATCATGAAATACACTTTTGTAGATCTCAAGGTTTTGTTTCCAATGCTATAACAATTAGCTCCATCAAACAACGGGGGTAAAAAGTTATGGCCAAAATACTTAAATAGTGTCAATTTCCTTCATACCAAAATTCCCTTCAAAATATGTTTAGGCCATGGAACACCTCCAAATTTATTTTCTTCAACATCAAGCATCTAAAAGCATCTTTAATGATTTTAGAACACTTTAGATCCACATTGAATAACCAATAACCATTCTTGATTTCTTAAAGAATAAAGTGTTTGAAGTACCAAAATTATCATCTCACCCATCCGAACTATTGTACAAGTCGAATGTTTATCCCAAGGTTTTTCGTACTCTTAGATTTAAGGGTAACATTATTTTGACCTAAAAGCATTTAAAAACTTACATAGTCACCATGTTCAAGCTTAAATACCTTTGAAACTAAATTAGGCCTAAAAGTTAAACTTCATAGGTATTCTTTCAACAACCATTGGTAGTTTCTATCATCATTTTAATTATTTTAAAAATACTCTTAAAATAATATTATCCATATTTAAATTTGGTCCAAGATCTTAGAACAATAGTTTCCAATTAATATTGATTAAATAATTAGGTCAGTACTTTAATTTCAAATACTATTGACAGAAATAATGTTATCAAGGTGAGTTGATTCAATATGAAAAATAATTTTGTGCAATGCCTATTAAGTTTATAAAGTGGGTTATCTTGTACCAACGAAGAAAAAGGAAGAAAATTTTGATATCTAATTTTTGGAATATTTTCCGATGATAGAGAATTGAGCCAATACTCCCAAATAAAAGAGGAAATTGATCTATGGTCATAAAAATAAATAAGAATTTCTACTTGTACCTCGTAAATAAAAAGACTTTTTTATTTTGTGGAATTGATGAATTCCTTTCTTTTAGAAAGAAATTAGGTTCAAGTAAACAAATAGCAAAATTGTCCATCACATATTATAACTTTATAAAAGTTGGCCATCATCATTCATTTTGGATAAGTAGGGACCTTTGTGTGTTATTCATATTCTTTTATAAATAGCATGAAATCACGGTTTTGTTTGACAAAATTCCTGAATGATGGCATATATATTGACCTAAAGATTTAAAGCCGGTCAAGTGTTCAATACATATACCCAACTTCTTGCAATGACTCGATCCGACTCCAATATGAAAAAATAACTTTTTTGGTATGATATCTCTATTTTTCCTCCAACAAAAATTTGAATCATAAGAAGTCCTTTTATTTATTATTTTATTTTCACAATTAATGACCATAAATAAATGTTTGTAATACCAATCATACCATATCAAAAGAGTGTGGAGAAATCTCAATGGTAGTCTGAGTGTTAACATGAACGAGCACTAAACTCAAACGTTCTAAATTTGAATTTTGGTAATCTCTTGACATTAGGTCATGAGAAATTTATCTCTCCTAAATACATTAGTCCCGGTGTAAATGATCTTGACCGAATTGGAGAAGAGATTAGTCGAAGTACAAGTAAGTTTGTTCGAACACTTTTGACAGACAAAGAAAGAGTGTAGGGGAAACAAAGAACTTTCTACTTTACCTTCACGACAAAACAAACAGCTTACATGCCTAAGAAGTAAAATCAAAACCCGTAAACACAATACCAAAGCAAAGAAAATGGAATAGTTTGATCAGGAGGACAAAGTAAAACTAACCTCCAATTCTTGAACTCTTCTACATATATACATATATATACAGGCATGTATGTATGCCTCAAAATTAATAATCACCTGATATTCTACACAGCAGACAAAGAAAACGAAGCCAAACAGTTTGAGAAATGGCAGAGAGACCCCCCCGAACAATCCCGAGAAGCTCCCAAGCGCCCGTCCTTCCTGTTTATGAAGATTTTAAGCCCATCTCAATGTGGAAACAGGAAGAAGAATCTGATATTCTGCTTATATACCTTCCTGGTTAGTAATATATCCTATTTTATGATGATATATGTGTTCTATGATTCATGCATGCACTGTTTTAAAACTTAGTCATGTTAGTAATAAGTATAAAATTGGTCTCTGATCATTAGGTCTTACACAATAAGAATAGACGAATGATGTTATTATCTTTATATACCAAATTATTAACTCAGTTAGTTGTTGCACTTTAATCCCAAATAAATGAAAAAATATTGGATGTAACGGTTATATTATATCAGCAGTATCACGTGGTGTAACGATTGTACTTTCATCGAGCTGGTATGTCAATACATCGAGCGTTCTTATTTATTTATTTATTTTGATTGGTAAATAATTTTATTAATTAACAGAGAAAATAAGCAAAACCTAGACAAGTTAAAGATAAACGAGCAAAAATCTAAAACAAATGCAGCATAAAAAAATAGGTTAATTGTACTAGAGGACCTCAAAGTAAAGAGTTTGTCATATTGTAATCTCAATATTTCAATTGTATCATTTTAGTCCCTAAAATATTGAATATATTTTTATGTGATCTCTCAAGTATACAATATCTAAATTGCTAATCGTGTTTTTATCATAAACTTGACAAGTGATACCTAAATATGAGCGATAAATAATTTGAGTAGCTCTTGACGAAAAATGTATAATATGGATAGCTCTTGATCAAATTTGGATAGCTCATAATCAAAACTGTGCAATTTGGTCAGCTCTTTGACCAAAATTTGGATAGAAATTCGGTCAAGAGTTATCTAAATTATTTTTTTACCCGTGTTTAGGTATTACGTGACAAGTTTATCATAAAAAAATATTAAAAATCTGGATGTTGTCTGCTTGAGGGACCACATAGAAATATATTCAATATTTTAGGGATAAAAATGATGCAATTAAAATATATACTTTGGAGACCTCCAATGCAGTTAATCCTTAAAAATAATTACAAAATCAGAAATTTAGAAAAGTATTATTAAACTATATCTTAATAAATACGGTACGGTGAATCTCCAAAAGAGAAAAACCTATTTTATTTTTCTCGGGAATAAAAATTATATTTTAAGGTAAAATATATTTTTGGTCCCCAAAATATGCATTTAGTATCTATTTGGTCCTCAATTTTTCAGTTATATATATTTAATCTCTAAGGTTTCTAATTTGTATCTATGTGGTCAAATCCAAACGTTCGTCAAAAAACCATTAAAGGTTCTGGTCATGTTCTAATTATGTGTGATTAAATAAACACAAATTATGAAATTTAGGAACTAGATAGACATAAAAATAAGAAATTGCGTGGTTAATGAGAGATTAGAATGGTCATAATTTTTTGATGGGCGTTTGAAATTAAACCACATATATAAAAATTAGGAATCTTGTGGACTAAATAAACACAATTAAAAGATTGAGAACTAAATAGAAATCAAAAACATATTTTTATAAGCACTTTCTTAATTTGCAATCCTCTTGCATCCTAGGGTTTATGAAGAATCAAATAAAGGTTACAACGGAAGGCCGGAACATCGTCAGGGTCAGTGGAGAGCGTCTGATTGCAGGTAACAAGTGGAACAGCTTCGTGCAGGATTTCCAAGTTCCAGAATACTGTAATATTAGAGGAATTCGAGCCAAATTCGAGGTTGGAATTCTCACAGTTACAATGCCCAAAAAGAGTACGAGTATCCCTCAACCTCAAGTTGACCCCAAAGTTGAAGGAAAAACAACTCAAGAAGTTCCACCAACACCAAAGGATCCAAAGATTCAAGAGGACATTCCTCCAAAACCATCTTCATCAACCACAGAGACCAAAAATCAGATGGATGCTGCAAACGAGCCAAAGTCTCAGAAGGGTATTGCTGAAATTATACCAAAATATAGTGTGCCACCACTTTCTCGTTCTCAAAAAATCAGGAGTGATAGGGAGCCCGAAAAGGGTCAAGGTGAACAACCACCTGCAAGACCTACTACTTCAGGCACCAACACAGATAAGCAGAAAAATATTGATCGTGATGATCAGAGTCGTGAAAGAAAGGAAACGACAGAAACAACAGGGGTGAAGGAAATGATGAGAAGTAGTGAGAAAGGTAAAGAACCATTGAAGCCTGAAAATGAAGTGAAACCAATTTCTGAGAGAGAAAAACAAGTGGGGGATGGAAGTGGCAGTGGTTACAAAGAGGAGGGTGTAAAACATATTTCCAAGACAAAGGCAGAGGAAACAACAAAGGTGACTGATTCTGGTGCTGGTGCAGGGGCTGTTGCTGGTGCTCGTGGTTATAATCTGGAGAGTAAGGTGGTTAAAGGCCTTGTTAAGGAGCTGGATGAAGAGAGACAATTGATGGTGAATGTGGGTGTGGCTGTTCTGGTGATTGTGGCACTAGGTGCTTATGTCTACTTCACATATGGGTCCTCTAGGAAACCCCAAAACTAGGTTTAGCTTATACATACAATGTATGATCATGGTTATGTATACTTGAAAATATTGTACATAAACCGTTTATGAAAAAAATAATATCTTGTTTAGTCCCATTAATTGGGGTCTAAGTGGGAGCGGCATCTAAATGTCATTTTATTCTTACAAATAGCAGTACAAAACGTGTACATTGTTACTCACATGTTTCGGCATCAAGTCCATATAAACTAAAATAAAATTGTGATTTTTATCCAAATTTCCATTGATAAACATGCATTTGTGTTTGGCTAACATGGGAAATTCCAAACCTTTTTACCTTAAACTTAATGAGATTCTACAAAAGTGAGATTATTTATATTTTTTTTTTTTCCACTCTGAGTTTCGAGAAATATTTCACAAACTCTAGTAGATACTTTGAACCGAACAATTTGGATTTCTCCTAATCTCCAAGTGTCCCAATCAAAGTAGCATTTGCATAGTAGTTTGATTTGCATGTCTTTTATAGAATACAAAAAGAATCATCATTTTCAATTGGGCTTTAAAAATTAAAATACTAGTAGTGGGTATTTTAATTACATTGTCTGCAAGTTCAGTAAGAAAAATATCTAATAAACACCACCTTTAGGAGGAAATGTTACATTTTATATGTCCAATGGTAGAATATTCTTGGGACATTTTGTGCTTTTCAACTATTCATTAATATATTATGCCAAAAACTCGCATCTGCAAAATAATTTAAACGCGTAAATTAAAAGATCCAAAATATTCGCACTTTTAAATGAAAAAACGAAATGAACCATATCATAATCATACATACGAAGGGTTAAACGGAAAAAAAAGAAAAAACGAAAAAAAAAGGAGGATGTGAATAAGTTAAAGTAGGACAACATGCAAAAAATATAAGCCATGTGTCTAACATATTTGAATTGTTAATATTACTTGGGCAGCAAGCATATGCAAAAATTTATACAAGTCACATATGAAATTCAAATCAATTTTTAATTCAATGCTAATAAAAATTATTACCCAAAAAGATATAAATTAAAAAAAATATTCTTACCTTAGAATATTAAAATAAATCTATATAAAAGTGAACGACTCATAAGAACCACCAACAACTAAAATAACAATCAATTTGTTTCATGATTGCAACCAATAATCAAAGTAATCAGTCCCATCACAATTATCACCACCTGATTAATAAGCCAAATAATAAAAGAAAACGACGTCACAATTATCACCACCTTATCGATCACCACTTCTCCAAATGACACTTCCAAAGAGGAGCTATTGGTACAAAGTTGTGGCGTGAGCTATATTGACAAAGATAAGTTATTTGGTTTTTGGTGTGGCTTGGCTTGGTGGAGCATGACTGAGAAACATTGGAGGGACTTGTGGAAGTTGTTGGAGCAAGTGTAGGCCGAGATAAGGGAAATCCATAATACTGTGTTTTTTTGTGGCCATTTGGTCGATGATCTATGTAATTGATGACCGAGGGATGGCGGTGGTTTACGATGGTTGGGAGACTGAGGGAAATAAAGAGAGAGGGAAGAAGAACAACAAAGAGAGAAATAGAGAGATGATGAGATACCTAGTTGTGGTTACCGACGATGGTGTCTATGGGGAGGGTGTGGGTGGTTATCGATGGAGGCTGATGGCTATTGTCGATAGCGGACTATGGTTGATGTCTCTGGCAGCAACGAAGTCGTCGAGGATAAAAGAGATTAGGAGAGAGGTGTGGACAAAATGTGAGATTATGAGAGAAGGGTTGGAAAAACTAAGAGTAAGAGAGAAATACCTTCGATTGTCACATGGATCACTGGCATCACTAAGGTGTTGGGGGTCACCGGAGTTAGGTCCAGGTCTGGGTCTGGTGTTAGGTCCGGTTCGGGTTCGGAGTTGGGTTCTAGTCCAAAGTCAGGTGCGTGTGCGTGTGCGGGTTCAAGTCCGGGGTTGAGTCCGAGGTCTGGGTGTAGTGTATTAGTACGTATACTTTCTTTTTTTTTTTTGAAAATATCAGTGTGTACTTTGGTGTGTTAATTAAATGTGTTTTTTTGGTGTGGTAGTGTCTGCGTGTGTATTTTGTGTATTTGTGTTTTTTTGTTGTGTATCTCTGTGTGTGTTTTGGTGTGTTACCATGTGTGTTTTTTTTTGGTACATGCGTTTTGGTTTATTCATGTGTGTTTTTTTTTTTTTTATGTATTAGTGTGCTTTACTTGGTGTATTAATATATATTTATATCAAGAGTTTTAATTATGCAACACGTTTTTTAATTTAATTCAACCCAACCTATTTTAAAACAAGTCATAACCAACTCAATTGTCACCCCTAGATGTTATAAAAGGTAGGAAAAAGAGCAGGAAAGTAAAATTTCATAAAGAATTTTAACAATTTGATTAAATTTAACGATCTAAACTGTAAAAAATTAAAATTATTTTAATGTCTTGGAGATTTTAAAATCATTTGTACTTTATTATATAGATGTTAGTCCCAGAGTCAATCATGCAAAGTTTTAGAAGATAACATTCAAAATGTTTATTTTGGTCCAAAACCATAGAAACCTATTTGTTAGTTTCCAAAATACAATGTACCTCATTGAACCAAACCAGAAATTGTTGATCTAATGATAATGCAGCACCAACTCCTTAGCCTTTTCCAACTCTTTAGATTCCAGCCACTAATTTGATTACCTCGAGCCTCCATACATTGACCAACTCTAACTAAACTACCATGATTCACCAATCTTAATTTCGTAACCCAAAAATCAACAAAGCCACCAATAGAAAAATCAGTCATCAATCGCTTCATATTTTACAAATCAGTCATCCCAAGATTATCTTTCTGGCCAGCCACATATGAGGGCTTGGAGACCAAGTCCCCTCCAGGAACCACAGCGTCTCACCCTCTTTTCTTCGGCAAAGTAGTTTATTGGTCTCAGATTGCGAAAGGAATGGGTACCGATACATAACAATTAAAAGTGGAAGTGATTTACAAACCTGGCATGATATTTATCATAAATAAAAACCCACCGGGCCAGCCACTACTAATAGTGATTTAGCCAGTAAAAGAATTTTCAATACAGATGTAATCGAGAAGAAAATTTCACCTAATGGTACCCATTACTAACATCACCAGCAAATTCATAAATATCAGTTTCATCTTCTACTACAGATTTGCTTTTATTTCTCGATGATTTACCAGGTTTTACCTTCTGTAGGGGTTTCTTAACCTTCTCGGCCTGCAACTCCAGCCCCTTCTCTGAAGGCTTCCATCTTCTTTTCAACCGTGTTCCTCCTGCATCCCCCACAACAGAATTATCCATAGCTGCATCAGAGAAAAGGACCATTTAAACATACAAATTAAGGAACATTCAGAAATTTACATGGCTAGAGGGTCAGTACTGTAAGAAACAACAGCATTTTAATGGGCAGATAAACAACTGATTTAAGACACATAATAGCTTTCTTCTTCTCTCCTTTTGACAAACACAGTATAGAAGATGAACAATGTATTCAGTCTTAAAGTTTTTATTTTTCAAAAGATTTTTTTTTTCTTATAGTTTGAGATAGACTTGGTGAGGGCCATTTTCTGGTGTTGCAGGAAGTGTCAAGCTAAAAACTGTGATGTTGTGATTTCGAATATGAAATTGACTGCTTTGTGCACACAGTGCAAAAGGTAAGTTTTGTACGTGTGTAACCCTCCCAGCACCCTCGATTTACAAGACAAAATTGGGTAATAATCCTTATTTGACAGACTTAGTAGTGCATGATATGAATAGAGGTCACAATCACTGTTTTTGTGACCCCAAATGGTACATCACAAAGCCACCTAAAAAGACAATCAAATCAATAGGGTAACCACACAATCTAATTAGACTGGTTGGCCAGAAAAACAACCAAAATGTTTTCACTATGAATGGGCGGACTTGCTTGGATTCCAAACTCGCAAAAGTAAGATGGTGAATCAAATATTTTTCAATCTCAATACATTTCATTACATGGCAAGTTCGGGGCTTTCTCCAGAATCCTAGTTGAGCACTGTTTCTTTACCCAGGCTGCCTCTCTTCGATTTGAACTGCTCATAAACTGTTCTGCCTCCTTTCCCTTTCTCATCTTCCATTTATTTTTTTTTTATAGCTAACGTGAACCCTTATTATTGATCAGCAATAGAAGGAAGTCTAATCCGAGAACCTTTTTCATTGATTCACATTGGCGTCTTGTTTTGTTTATGCACTTCCCTTCTCTGTTAGTTGGAACTTCTTTTAACACAGAAAATACATTGTTTGGCTCCTTTGCTGTTGGGTAAAATTTTGTGCATGGATTAGTCTTCTACTTTCTTTTACTGCTGGCAAAACAAAGTGTTTGAGAAATTTTATTGTTGTTTTTGTTTGTATTTTGCTGAAATATCTCGTCAGATCAAATTATCTAATCGAATATGTGATTTCAACAGATTTAAATTCTGATTATAGTTAATCAAAAGAACCGTTGAAATCAGTGTTTTGAAAAACGCGCCTAGGCGAGAAGCAAGAAGCAAGACGAGGCGAGGCTTTCTCGCCTGGAGGACCCCAAGCGAAGCGAACTTGTGCGAAGCGAAAAAAGTGTTCGCCTTGCGCTTAAGCGCTAGGCGAAAAAGCGAACGCTTTTGTTATTTGAAGCGAAATGTTTTATTTTTAATTTGAACCATTGGATTGAGCAATTGGAAAAAATAATTATAAGATGTGATACATCGAAATATTCCCTTATCCAATAAATAAAACCCCAAACCCTAATTTAAATCACATTTATTCGCTGCTCTTCACACTGGACTCCTACACGATCGCTGGCTGGACTCGATGGACAGAACGATCGCTGGACTCGATCGACTCTCTGTCACTGCTCCTTACTGGTTTCTTCGCTGCTCGTTGCTCACGCTAGAGGCTGGACAAACCCACAGACTCTCCTTCCTCGCTGATCGCTGCACAGGTTAGTCTCATTTTTTTTTTCTCTCTTCTATTTCTCTTTTTTTCTTCTCTTTTGTGGGTTCTAGATCTTCTTCCTCGCTGATCGTTGCTAATTAATAACATTTCTATTCCCTTTTTTTTTTTCCTGACAAAGACGATCGACTCTCTGTCGCTGCTCCTATTGGTTTTTTGCTACTCGTTTGCTGCTTTTGGATCTTCTTCCTCTCTGTCGCTGCTCCTACTGGTTTTTTTTTCCTTTTTTTTTTTTCCTGATTTCCTGATTCTGACTGTGCTTCCTGATTGATTTCTCAGTCCTTGAGATACTTGAGATACTTGAGATAGTTTCTTTAGTTGCTTGAATTGTGTGTCTTATGTTTTTAAATATTAGAATTTTGGATATTATTAGTGTTTGTTTGAATTTAAATGTTTAACTTATGACTGTTATTAAGATTTGAGATATTATTAGTGTTTGTTTTAATTTAAATGTTTATGATTTTACTTGCATTTAAATATTTAGTATATATAAAATTAGAACTTAGATGTGTATAAGTAATTAAACTAAAATATATATACTTTTTTAAACTGTTTGCTTCGATTTGCTTTGGCAAATCGTTTCGCTTCGCTTCTCGCTTCTTGCCTAGGCGTTAGGAGCCTTAGTCGCTTTGGTTCGCTTTACGCCTTAAATAACACTGGTTGAAATATTATGTGGTTTTTCAAGTAAAAATTTGATGTATCCTGTCCAAACCCAATCCCTTCACAAGCCTAGCTAAAAGGTGACTTGTTAATTAGGACCCGGTTGGCTCATAACAAATTCGGATAGGTTGCATGCTTTTGGAATATGTATAATAACAAGAGAAACCAAATGTGCAGGGAATGCGACTATGGGTTCAACATGTGATTTATTATGACCTATGTGACCGACCAACCCATCATATATTCCTTTGATAATTGAGACAGTGATAGCATTTTTGAGAACATAAGAAATCAAACAACTGAATAGTTCTGCTGTTTCTGCATCTTATGTAAGGGTAAGATTGATCACACAGAGGATACATAGGGGTGAGTTTGGAGGAGACTATGGATGGACTTTTTGAAGCCAAAAGCCCGTTTTCAAAAGTTCGAGTTTTTGGTCAGCCTACACGTTTGATTGGTCAGCCTACACGTTTGACTTTTCAAAGACAAGTGCTTTCTCAAAATGCCCATTTGGAAATGCTAACTAACCCAGCTTCTCAAAACCCTCCATTTTCCACTTCTCGCAAAGTCATGAAGAACATTTTAATTGATTAAGCTAATTTACAAAAGTGTCCTTTTTATGTAGACAATTATTATTCTAAGTTCTAACCCTAAAGACTAATTAATTTACTTGTGCACTTTATATACAGACAACAAAGTTAATTGCTGTTGAGAACAAAACGAGGAACAGAAGTTCTAAATTTCAGTTTCTTTCTTTTTATATTTTTTCCCAAACCTGATAGATTGTTGTTTTGCCTATTTAATTCTTTATCTATTAATTATCTACCAGAATTCCATGTTACTGTACTTGTACAGATCATGCAGCCCCCAAAAAAAAAAAAATTTGTACAGATCATAGCTTGAGAAAACACTTGCAAATAATCTGTTGATATAGATACAACTCTTACATTACGCGTGCTCATATCTGTCAACCAAAACAACCAAATTGCAAATGGTTTGATGAAGAATATAATGTTTTAAGGTGGTCGTGGTAAAAGAGAAAAAGTGAAACTAGGTGCTAGAACATCATGTGTTTTTAATTATGAGGTGATCAATCATTTATTTTTTTTGTTTATATATTTCATTTGGACACTTAAAATTTCTTATATTTCTCATAGAGGTTTATGTATTCAATTAATTGTGTTAGTTTTACTATTTCCAATTTGTAATTTGTTTGTTTGTAGGATTTGACTTCGGTACCAATGGAGGTACAGTACCCAAGTTTAAAATTTTTGTGATTTATCACACACATTTTGGGGGTCTGGTTAAAAATAAATAAATTAGAATTGACCGTAAAATGTCATGATCGATCACAAACCCCCAAAAAATATAACTTAGTCCCAAAAAAATTATAAATTGAACCATAAATGTTTTAAGATAATCCAAATACTGTAGCATTCTCCTTATTTGTAACTTAAAAACGTAGCATGCTAAATAAACTTTATTTTTGAAAAAATGGGGTTAAGGGTGAGATATTATTGAGTTGGTGGAATTTTACGCTTTTAAACATATTTTCACCAAACACTTCCATATATAAATGCATTTTTTAATGTAATAACACTTTCAAAATACATGTTCACCAAACATTCGGTATTTCTTAAAAGTCCATTTTATAAAGTCTATCTTATAAATGAACTTTTAATTTGAGAAGCTAGGTCAAACACAATGACACTTTCCAAAGCACACTATTGAGTTAAAGATATTTATTGTGCTTACATGCACGCCAATCTCAGCCTAATCAAATACAATAAGCATTCAATGGAAGAAGATGATAGCCATGGATATCCGATCAATTTGATATTTGGCTTGCATGTGAAGCACATGAAATGACCTTTAGTCCAATAATTTACAGCAAAAATGAGTTCTACCAAAAATCATTGAGATGCAAAAACTTTTTATCTTACACCTGGTGTAAATAAATCCTAACCCATAATAACTTTGAAAGGACATGTTCTTTTTCTAATAAGTAAATAACTAATAATATGCCCACCACTTGAAGGATAATAATAATGCATCATCAACCAAAGGAAAAAAATAAAAAAAATAAAGGTCAAAGCTGTATCTATATTACTTCTTAAATTTCCATGCATAATGCATCTAATAATATGCACAGATTTTGTCTCAATTAAAACAAGAATAATAGTAAATCAAAACCCAAAAAGGCAAGATGGATGTGGCACCCAGACCTAGGAACTATGATCCCTTTCAAGGACCCTCATTTGATCACTAAAGATATAAATAAGGATGTCATATAAACAAGCAATACAAAATTATTTATCTATTTTTTCAACTCTTCCTCAACAAAACCAGTGTCTTAACTATCCAAGCTATATAAACAAAACCTGAACATGGGTTTGATCTCATCCCTTAATTTCATTTCAATTAATTGAAGCAAATTTGGTGTTTCCAGCACATCAATTGATTAAATAACACATCTAACCTATGAAAGTTAAAGAAAAACCAAAGAAAAACGTAGTCAAAGGTTCTTTTTTCTGAGGAAAACATTATTTTATAGTAGAAAGATAACCTTAATCAAAAGTTGGGAAAAAAAGACAAAAAAAAAATCTGTATTACTTTTATTTTAGAGTTGTAGAAAGATAAACCTAATCCAAATTGGGCTTTTCTTTTCTTTTTGTGCAGCTTTGCCTTAACCATATTCCTTGATCTCTCTTTTTTTCACGATTATTTCTTCTTTGGACCACATAAACCTCGTATCATTCTCCCTCCAACCAGAGAAAATTGCCCTAAGAGTTTTAAAAGGGGGAAGGATCTGAAGCTTCCAATGATCTAATTTCAATTGAGAAGGTTTGTCGTTAAGGAATGGAGTTGAGGATTAAGCAAAATGTTTTTGTGGTGGAAGTTGATCACAAATCAAGTGGTCAAGCCATTCATATCAACGAAAATAGTCTGTGTAGTTAGGTTGGCATCCTGGTTGAAACAATAAAAGAGCTAGAAATTTGGATTTTACTGAAGCTTTCTTCAAAAGTTCAGGGATGATCCATAAGGATGAAATTCATTAGCAATGACATAGGAGATTAAGGGAGTGTCGAAATTGCATAGCGAATGCAAAAGATTTGGATTAGTTATTCCTAAAAGAGTTGACAGAAAAGGGTGGGTTGAAATGGATGATTTGATCAGATATAACATTTATGGTGGAAGGAACAGAGATAGATTTTGAGGCGATAACTGGGGTGACATAAAGAAGGGCATTTGGATTTTACTGAAGCTTTCTTCAAAAGTTCAGGGATGATCTATAAGGATGGAACTCATTAGCAATGACATAGGAGATTAAGGGAGGGTTGAAATTGCATAGCAAATGCAAAAGATTTGGATTAGTTATTCCTAAAGGAGTTGACAAAAAAGGGTGGGTTGAAATGGATGATTTGATCAGATATGACATTTATGGTGGAAGGAACAGAGATAGATTTTGAGGCGGTAACTGTGGTGA